TAATTATAGTATATACATAAATGTATTCTTTAAATTATTTTACAGAATGATGTTGTATACAACTAGTAATTTAAATATACAAAAAATGTGCCAAGTCTCCCCTTAAAAAGCAGCTTTAACCGATTTACAACCAAGACTTGATCCTCCTTTAAGTATCCCCATCCCCCAAAATCACTTCTTGTGCACCACAATGGAAAAGGCGGAATCAGCAAACAGTTTTCAGCTGAAAAAAGATTTGAATGTCCGTCATAGCCAAATGCCGTGTAATATGAAAAGAGTGGGCCACATAAAAGGAGCACAATGCTGACGCCTGATTCTTCTGATTCCAGAATCTGTGATGCCAAAAGCTGACGCTATCCTGACGATGATGAGCGCAGCGCACAAAACGATGATGCACAAATCCTTTAAGAGCGGATTTGGAATTTTCTGCGAGATGGTGGGCGGAGGACATCCTGTGGGTGGGGTGGGGCGTGGCAGGACACAAAGGCGGGCGAAACGGACGAGGCTTAGTCGGAAGGGGGGAGGGGGGACAGTGTTCCAGAGAATATAAGAACGAGGGGACAGGCTTTAAAGTATTGTGATATAGATGCCAACTCAGATCCGTATAAGCCGCCCGCTGCGAACCAGCAGGATATCATTGCGACTTCGTTTGGAGTCCATTTTACTGATATGATATGGGGTCTCTATCGCCAAGGCGTTTGCCTAGAGGAAGTGTTGTATTTGTAGTGCTGAAAACTATTTGTTTTAACCCGCTGTGCGGTGCTGTGTTGGAAATGTTCGCAATTCCGAGCTATGAGCCCATCCGTAATGGTTATTGGAAACGCAGCCGAAAATTGCTCTCAAATATTGACTTTGTCTGGCCGGATTGCTATTTGCAATTCGGTAAGTCTTGTTTGTGCACAGAGAAAAATTAAAAACCTTGTATTTTCTTATAAACTGATATTTTTCTAGAAGATACATACATACTTGTATAGGAAATATATAGGAATTAAATAGTATAAGCCTTTAAATCTTTAATATTCTAGACCATAAAAATTAGTTAAAAATACTAAAAATACCTTTCTAAACACTTGGAGTAATTTTAATAGTATTTTGAAAACAAAAAATAAGTTTATAAATATTTCGAAGACTCCTATACAGATTTTATTAATTTAGTAAACCAGCTTTAAGTACGATACTTTAGCTCTTTAAACACATGAGTTCACCGACATTTTTTCACTGTATTGTGATGACAGTAACCCTGGCAACTTTCCCCCAACATTTCCCCTTCGCATCGTAATGTCAGCCATGAACTTTTATTATGCCTTAAGGTAAATTGTTTTATTTATTTTTTAGGCCTGTCGCCAGCCGCACAGTAATGGCAACAGCGTCGCCATCGGGCCAGGATCCTGGTCCTTGGTCCTTCGTCCTTCGTCCTCCGTCCTGGTCAACGCATAATTCAGCGTTACTTTGCTGCCACACTTTCACCCACATCCACCACCCACTGAGCATACAGCATCCGCATCCGCATCCGCAATCGCAATCGCATCCACATCCGCATCCCTTTTGGGCCGACGGCCAACGAAAAAATCGCAACAATTTGTAATGCCAAATATTTTATTCATTCTGCGTTTGTCGAGCCGCCTCCTTGGGGCCACATAAATAAATACATATTTGTGTGTTTATTTTTTTAGCCCTGTCGCTCCGATTGGCTCAACAGGTCAGAGGTCGAGCAGCGGGAGTTCCGTATTCCGGATTCCGGACCCTCGCGGCTCTGTCCTCATATGAGGACATTTATGGGACGGCTTTTCCTGCATACAAATGCAGCCAGTTTTTCCTGGCCCGTGGTGCAGAAATTTATCACGCCATTAGTGGAGCACAGTTTACCGGAATACATATATTCACAATTTGTTCATGTTAATTGCGCGTAGGCTTTTTGTTGTCAAATGGTTTAATAAATTATATCTCTTCTCTCTGTTTGCGAATTAAAGGGCATTTCATGTAATCAGAATAAATACAACATTTTGTTTTATTAAATTGAATATTATTACATTTGTGGGCAAATGAAAACGTTGCTCTTTATAAATTATATTAATAACAGTTTACTTTTTGATTCCATTTTTCTTCATAATAAATATTGCAATAAATATTTCAATGTATTGTTTCTTGGAATTTTAAAATCAAGTTGTTCTGATAAATATCCATTTACAAAAAATATCTTAAAATGTTTTCAGCATTAGTTCTTAGAAGATTTTTGATCCGATACAATTCAGAGATTTAAAATAAGATGTGTGTATAGTTCATCCCAATTAAAACTATTATACGTTTTTAGTAAGAAATAAAAAAAAATATTCATTTAGCACTTATCTAATATGTATATATAGTATCTACTTATCCAAAAATTTTTATTTGGATCATTTTATTTTAGATGATAATACGATTTTAGTTAGTTATCACTTTATAAATACTCTCTTTCGAAGGGCTAATTTAGGAACTATAACCCGAGTTACTCATCAGTTTTCAGCTGACAAATCAGCTTGGCAACACTATACGGTTTCTAAAATTAGCGACTGCAACTGGAATTGTAACTTCATAAACGCATCAACACGCTGGCAATGCGAACATAATGAACTCAATGCTGGGACGTCGGGTCATTTGTCTATTATGGCGCATTGATTAGCGCCTGACCCCCATTTCGCAGTTCACACTTGCGGGTCGCCAACCCCCCGGGCACCGCCCACGCCCACAAATGCATGCTATGCCACACATGTCGTGTTTAATTAACCCCGAACAATTTCAGTTTCCGCTGCACGCCGCCAAAATCCCTCCTCCAATGGACACAAACACATGCACTTAGCTGCACATTCAGTCATACAAAAGGCACGCGCATAATTCTGATATGTAGTTTGTGCACTCTGAACCCCATGGTATACCCCATACAACACCACACCCCATACAAACCCCTCGGAAATGGCCCCGATATCGGGATGCCGTCGGAAACACAGTGACCCAAATTAATCTTAGTCATTAGCAGGAGCCAACTGCAAGTGTCGAGCGGAATGCGAACTCAGGGCCCTTGACAGGAGATGACATCGGGATTTGGGCGATGGAGGGACGGCTACGAGGGGCCCATCCAAAACCGCCGCCCTTGAGTTTCCATGTCTAGGCTGCGCGTAGACAAAGTGCCGAAAGTTTCGTCGCGGGTGCGGGAAGAAGATGGAAAGGATTTTGCCTTTTGTTTCAGAATTTACAAAATTCAGGGGCCTTGAAATCAAAACAAAACGTCCAGCAGCCGTTTTATAAAGACTAAAGGTGATTGATAACTTTTTCATCACCTATATTTTGATATCATTCCTAATAAATTTAGCGAAGTATAATATAACAAACCGAAAGCTAGAAACCTAGTATACCAACAGATTTAATTGAAAATATTTTGACTTTAAAATTCAAATCACTTTTTAATGGAATTTCATACAACACAATAGATTCCCCTGCTTAGACTTTAAGGGTAATACAATTTTAAAGACCGAATAGAAAAAATTAATATACCAACTACATAAGTCGAACTTATAATGTCATTAAAAATAAAATACGATCTTTTAAGAATTAAAAAACGATAACATTTATAAAAATTCATAGAATTGCATAAGTTGAAATACATAAATATGCTTAAAATAACTTTAAATACTAATAGTCGTTGCATAAGCATTTATGTGGTTTTATTAATCAAAAAGTAAGAACAATTTTTAAAACCTTTTTTAAATGATTCCTTAAGCAATTTTTTACTCGTGTACCAACAAACCGTATATTATTTATTAATTAAAGAACGACAAAAGAAAATCCAAGCTCTATATCCAAAGGATCAAGAATTTAATGTGGCTTTATTGTACTTTAAATTCCTCGCACATCCCAGTGTTTCGTGTAGCGATTATGAATCGCAAAGATTACCGCACATAATTATTATCATCATTCCGGGAGGTGGAGAATGTGGGCCGGGAGAAAAGCGAAAGGTGGCTGGCAGTTAAATGGTCCGCCCGCGCACTAATTGTGAGTAACACGTTCGCGTTTACGAAACTTTCTGGGAATTTTCATGGGAAAACGGGCAGCCAGCCCCGGAGTTTCGGCCAGACAAGTCCTCATCTCGGAACTCGGAACTCGGAACTCTTAAGTCGAAACTCGCAGCTAGACATGCAGTCAGCCGGCAAGTGCTTAGACATTAAAGTTTGGCGCGCTGGCTTAATAGACCAGAAATTCATTTGGGCCAAGTTTAAAGGGGCCGTTGGGTGTGTCATTAACAGGCAGCGCCCGAAAACCTTAATTAAAGCTGTGACACTGGTCGCTGGTCTTTAAACTTAGTCCTTTTTGTAGCGTTCGAAAATCAATAAATTTAAAATGTACTAGCCACTGCGGAAAAAGGGAATAAAATCTTAGCCAGTGCACACACACGGTGAAAAACAAAAAAAAAAGTAAAGGAAAACAAAATTCCAGCCATTCGAGGGAGAGTCCCCTTTTTTTCGGGGGATGTTGTTGCTGAGGCGACAAAGCAAGCAAGAAATCGCCGAGCCAAACATCCTTTTGTCAATACAAAATAGTAGTACAACAAAGCAAATAAAAGTCCCGAACGAGCCCCACGAGCAAAGACAAAGACAAAAGTCAAAAGTGCAAAAACAAAGGCAAAACAACTCAGAAGCGCCACCCGGATTCGGAATCGGTATAAACGTACGGATGGATGGATGATATGGGGGTGCCCAACGCATGCGCCAAAAGCTGGCGAATCTCACAAAGCTGGGGAAAGGCAAATGGCTGGCTCTCGGCCTTTTCAGGGGGTTGGAGTCTCACTCAGGATATCATATTGGGATATGGCTAAAATGGCGCACAAGCACACGAACACAACAAAAGCCATTTCTCCTTCGGATTGGAGAGAATTTCCTAGCATCAGCAGCAGCAGATGCTTGTGCATTTTCCCAAAGAAGAGCAAATGATTTTTAACAAATTTCATTAACATCAGAGGTCCGTAATCATTCAAGCATCGCGTTTCGTAACAGGGCCAGGTCAGAAGTCCGATACTGGCCGCCCCAGCAGTTCTAAAACCCAATTATATCGACAGTTTCGAGTCTGAGAAATGTGCTCTTGCCAAAACATTCGCAAAATGTATCATTATACGCAAAAAACGTAGGAAAATCCCGAGAAAAGCATCGCGAAAATTATGTAAAAGTCAGTGAACGTTATTTTATAGTTTTCCGTTTTTCAAACTGAACGATTCCAACATGATCGACGAACAGCATCCCATGCAGATTGGAATGTGTAAGTATTGGGGACCACAAGGAATAGAAATTATGAATCCGAAACCCGACGGCTTTTCCACGACTAATATTCCGTATATCCGTCGGCAATTTTTCGATACCAATGTGTGGTTGGGTCATCCCTTTAAAAAAGTTTTGTGGTATTTACAAAACTATCCCTGAATTGTTATACTTTTACTAGAGAACAAGTGGTGTTTTAGCTTCCTTTTAATAAATATAAATGAGACATAAGATAAACAACTATTTTCAAGACCTTAACAAACCTCAAATGAATATCATAGCCCAATCAAATGATTATATTGTATTTAATAATCTATTTTCATTTTCCAATTAAAAGATATTTGCCTTGTTGGCTCAGAAAATATACGATTTCAGCTCGTTTTGAAAAGAACAATAAAACAGAGGCGACTTACAACCTATAAATGTTTTTGAACTAGTTTAAATAAATAAGGTTTTAGGATTTCTAAAAATATATCCTTTTAAATATATTCTAAATTTGAAGATTTACTTCAAGAAGTAAAAATTAAAAATAGTTTATTTTGGAGCAACATTTTTTAACCGAATATCCTTCAAAACTTTAATGAAATCTTTTTTTTTTAACTAAAGGGATTTGTTGAGACTTATAAATTCAATTTCACACACCACAAGGCAACTATTTATATATCTCACATCAACACATATGATTTAATCTGCCTCCAGAGATAGATATTTAACACCAATAGTGCCGAGCACAAACGCCCACTTCACATCCACTGGCTGAGGGCCAATGAAAATTACAACATATTTTCCAGAGCAAGGCAAATTTTGACTTCTGTCAGAGATTAGGCCAAAACAAAGCATTTACGCTGCGATTGCTGGCACAACAAAACGGCAGTGGCAATAGCACCATAACTTCATTGTCTGGCCAAATCCGATTAAATAAAGCGCTGTCAGTGGCTGAACTGCTGGCAACTGACAGCGGAATCGGAATAGGAATAGGAATCGGAGGCAGCACACAGCATCCTGGCAGCCAGCCGACATCCTGGCAAGGATTTCCAAGGGTTTCCGCTCACGAACTGTGCCGCCTGTCGACTGCCAACATATGCCGCCCAAAACCGAAATCATGAGCCCTCCTTTTCCTCACCACCGTTTATACGCTAAACCCAAGCATATTTTCCATAAGGGTGGAAATCCTCCTGCTAAATGCCCCTGATTCAATGAAATTCGTTTATAATCTAGTTATAAGCGGAGCAAAGGGTGGCATTTTTGCCGACTTAAAACGCCCCTCAGTTCCCGCTGCACATTAGAATCTAATTTGGGAGGGGGATAAGTGGAAGGACTATCAATGTCGGCTTTGCACTTGTCGTCCCAAATCCTTGAGGTCTATGCCCTCGCATGTCCGGCAAACATGTTGGAATATTTTCTAAACGTCAATCGGGAGATGACAAAGCACTAAAAGTGTAACAGGTGTGGCCACTGAGCGGATTATTCCGCTGCACTTCTTAGTAAATGGCTCCCCGTTGTTCCAAGTGTCACAAGTTAATGTTAAATAGGGCAAGAAGATTAGGATTTGGGTCTTGGCAAATGGATAAAAGTCTGCTGGATACCGTAGTTACTAGGAGTATTGATTTGCAGCATATTGAAGAATTACTTCACTATACGAAATCACCCCAAATTCATTTTGTTACCCTTTTAACTTATCACATCTAAATTAAGAGACACATGTTATTATAGATAATAAATGCACATGGCTTAGGGATTTCTTAAAAGAATATTTAAATTAAAGGATTTTCTATTCAAAAATGTTAGAAAAAAAGATGTACAGCCATTGCCTATTTTATTTTATTAACAATCCATTTAAAATATGAAAAAACAATTAAAGGAGTTCATATTTTCTGTAGTTATATTAGATATTAATATATACATAGTTGAGGCAATGTTCAACAAACTTTTGTTTCATGAGAAAACTTTAACATTTTACATTTAATTGTGTCTCAAAACACTTTTGGAAAACATTGCAAAGTGTTTAAACGTTAAATTAAAATGGTACAAAATTAAACAAAAATGTTTTTGGAATAAAAATAGTTTTATTTTCCATAAGAAGAGTGAAAACAAGATTTTTTCAAAAATATATGCATATTTTTATGGATACCTTTTATAGGTTTATTCATGTTTTCCGCACATTTGTACCAACAGTAAAGCCAGCTTCAAATGGCAATTAAGTTCGGTCAAATGAAATGCACTCAAAACTGCAATCGCCCATATTCTCATATATATTTACTATTTTCCCAAATAAAATACAAATGTGACTAAAGCAATCCACGTCAATCAGTGTAAAAGGTGTAACAGAATTCTTAATGAGAACAATTACTAGGAGTATTGATTTGCAGCATATTGAAGAATTACTTCACTATACGAAATCACCCCAAATTCATTTTGTTACCCTTTTAACTTATCACATCTAAATTAAGAGACACATGTTATTATAGATAATAAATGCACATGGCTTAGGGATTTCTTAAAAGAATATTTAAATTAAAGGATTTTCTATTCAAAAATGTTAGAAAAAAAGATGTACAGCCATTGCCTATTTTATTTTATTAACAATCCATTTAAAATATGAAAAAACAATTAAAGGAGTTCATATTTTCTGTAGTTATATTAGATATTAATATATACATAGTTGAGGCAATGTTCAACAAACTTTTGTTTCATGAGAAAACTTTAACATTTTACATTTAATTGTGTCTCAAAACACTTTTGGAAAACATTGCAAAGTGTTTAAACGTTAAATTAAAATGGTACAAAATTAAACAAAAATGTTTTTGGAATAAAAATAGTTTTATTTTCCATAAGAAGAGTGAAAACAAGATTTTTTCAAAAATATATGCATATTTTTATGGATACCTTTTATAGGTTTATTCATGTTTTCCGCACATTTGTACCAACAGTAAAGCCAGCTTCAAATGGCAATTAAGTTCGGTCAAATGAAATGCACTCAAAACTGCAATCGCCCATATTCTCATATATATTTACTATTTTCCCAAATAAAATACAAATGTGACTAAAGCAATCCACGTCAATCAGTGTAAAAGGTGTAACAGAATTCTTAATGAGAACAATGGCCGGAATACTTTAACATTCTGTGCATATTTCTGGCATAAATTGGCATACCAGATATAATTTTTGCAAACATTTAATGAAATTACGCACACATTTAAATCACTCAAAATGCGGAATGACAAAAATACATGTATGAAAAACACAAAAAGTTTGGGGAGGGGGGAAAATGCAATGGAAAACAAGTGAAAAACCAAACTGCGACACGCACACACAAAAGCTGGGAAACAAATTACGATGAAATTTTAACAATTTGCCATAAATTGAGACAACAAGGCACAAAAAGCCAACCAGTCAGGACCGCAAATGTACAGTAATTTTTTGCCACCAAGCCACCGGAACAATCGCACATACGCATCGGTTACGCATACGCAGCGTTGTCCGTATTTATTTCTTTTTCTGTATTTTCCATGGCATTTCGCATGGCATTTCGGGGAATTTCGAGTGCAGTCGCACATATATTCACTCACTCACTCTTTTGTTTTTGGGTGGAAAAGTCATTTCAATAATTGCAAAACCACAAATTTACTACAACTCGAAACGGTTATGGTCACAGGGGCCCCAGACCAGATGGACATGGTTGGTATCCAATGGTACTGCCCGCAAATACAAAAACCCTTTTTATCCAGCCAGAACTATAGTTGTAAATTTGAGGGCTTGGGGAGGGGCGTGGCCAGCCGCAGTGTGCATGCCAGAGTGAAAATAAAAATATCTGAAATGTTTCTCATTTGCATGTGCCTGCTGGAATAACTTGGACCTGGGGGGCTGGACCAACGACACGACCGCAAAACCAAAATAGTTCCGATGGACATAAAATGTCAACAGCAGCAGCAACACCAACAGCAACAACTACAGCAGCAACACCAGCAGACTGGGGGCCTCAATCAACTGCTTTTGAGCGGAAATGAACGCATGTTAACAACACCAACGACAGCGGCAACATCGGTGGTGGCAACCGGAAGGAGCACATCGAGTGCCAAACCCGGAGTGGCCCACAATGACAAAATGGCGTCAGTCGGCAGAAATGTCAACGGAAGTTGCAACAACAGCAGCAGCAGCAACAGCCACCACAGCAGCGGCATAAACAAGCAGCCCATGGGCGTGATCCAAATGCCAGGAGGAGGAGGTGGAGCAGGAGCAGGACCTGGACCACCCCATCCCCTTTGCAACCGCATCACCTTGGGGGAGTGCAGCCTGAATGGAATGGACAGCTTTGCCACGCCGGTAGCCCCTCCTTTGGCATCCAACACACCGCAAACGCCTCAGGGAATGGGTCCCAGTTCCAACTCCACTTCCACTTCCATGTCCACTTCCTCCTCTGCCCTGGGCATGGAGTTGGGCCTAGGAATGGGTGCCCATACCCAGATGAGTCAGTGCGCCCACTGCTGCCAGCCCATTTGCGATCGCTACATCATGCGCGTGGTGGAGAACTCCTTCCACGAGGGCTGCCTCAAGTGCACCGCCTGCTCGCTGCACCTGGTCCACTCCTGCTACGCCAGGGAGGGCAAGCTCTACTGCCGCATCGACTACGAGAGGTGAGTCGGAGATTACTTGCCACATGACCTCTGCGAAGGGGTCTATATGGTCAAGGCACTTCTTGGTAGCACTTTCAGCTTTTTATTATCACCATTTAAGGTAAACATTTGTAATACATTTGTTTTCTTAAATCAATTCTTTTTTACAAAATATAAGATTGATTAAAAGGACTACCCTTTTTATTACCCCAAAACATCTAAAAGTATTCAAAACTTTATTAACAAAATTTATTCTTCTTATCAAGACAGTAGTAATCATACAAGTAATAGTTCTATCATACATGTCAGTTTTTAATAGTTTAATCTAAACTCAGAACATATATTATATTTGATCAATGGTTATTACTATACAAGGATTCATAACGAAGACGAAGGAAAGGAAAATCTTTGTAGTTTCGACCAAAAATTGTATGATGACAATAAATTTGTGTTTACATTTATAAATTGGAAATAGTGTTTTAAATATTCAATATAAGTTTGAATTCTTTGAGATGTTTTGTAGTGATCTTTTGTCTTAATTAATTTTTAATCATTTAAACCTAATGGTATTTTTTCAACTATCGTGGAAAATAGATATTTTTCTAACTGTGATCCTTTCTCCATTCGTAGACTTTACATCCGCAATCATTGCCTTGGCTGTGGCCTCAAAATCGGGGCCGATGAGCTTGTGATGCGGTGCCACGAAAACGTCTTCCATCTGAAGTGCTTCGCCTGTGTGGTTTGCGGAGCCCTTCTGAAGAAAGGAGAGCAATACGTGGTCAAGCAAGGTCAGCTTTTCTGCCGTTTTGACTACGAGAAGGAGGTGGAGATGCTACAGGGATATGGTGAGTCAATAACTCATTTGGATAGGGATAAAAATCTTAATCATATTATTAAATAGATTTCTATGGCGATGAGCTTTTTCCGCCCAAATTGGACGGAAGACGAGGACCCAAGCGACCAAGGACCATACTAAACACTCAGCAAAGGAGAGCCTTCAAGGCATCTTTTGAAGTTTCGCCAAAACCCTGTCGAAAAGTTAGAGAGAATCTGGCTAAGGACACTGGCTTAAGTCTAAGGATCGTGCAGGTGAATAAGGAACTTAAGTGCTCAAATTATGCTTCATAATCAACTTGAAAAAACAGAAAGTACAACAATTTAAAGGGATGAACCCTTAAAAAAAATATTTCTGTTGAGCAGAAAATAAAATAATACTATTTTTTAGTTCCTTACCTCTTTTAAAATTATAAAACAACAAAATAAATATATTTATAAATTTATTACTAATTGTTTCCCCTTTTTACCAGGTTTGGTTCCAGAACCAGCGGGCCAAGGTCAAAAAGATCCAGAAGAAGGCCAAGCAGGAGCCGCCCAGCAAGGGAGCCAGCGACTCGCAGGACTCGCAGGAGTCGCTGGACAGCAGTCTGGCCACCAAGATCAAGGACGAGGCGCACAGCGACAGCGAGTCGCAGCTGGAATCGCCGTATTCCACGACCTCGGATGGACTGAATCGGATTCGATGCGCCATTAAGGACGAGCAGGAGCAAGTGCCCTTCAACTGCATGGAGACCAATAAAGGTGATACTATAAAAAACCCATACAAAACTATTAAGTTACAAGGAATTTACTCTATATTTCCAAACAGAAAACTGCAATAAGAACAGCGAGCCCATACTAAATACCATTCTGGGACTGAGTTACGCCACATTTCAGCAGCTAATGGGACCCTTTGCCCAAACGCCGATGATCAATCCGATCGACCGGCTATATAGCATGCAGAGCTCCTACTTCCGGCCGGAGGAGCTGCAAGCCTACGGAGAATGCGGCGTCAAGGACTCCCTGAATCACTAGTCTGGCCTTTGCAGGCCTTCGAATTTTAAGCCCAAATCAAAATTAGACCTTGTAAAATAAAAGAATGTTAATGTGCTAGCAATCGAACTTAAACACCCCGGTAAAGTAGATTTCCTCCACCCACCTTTTTTCCTGGAAGCTGCACCACTTGCGTAATCAGAACCCGAATCACCCCACTTGCTGCACCACCATCAACATGGCCATCACTTTGGTGGCTCTGCAGGTGCAGCCTCGAAATTAGTTCCGCTCGGTTGACAGGCACAAAGCATTTGCCACAGCAGTCGCAACCCCGGTGAAATGGTGAAAGGCCCCTTGGAACGGGAATGGGCGTAAAATGCCGATTCGTCATGCATAGTTCAAAGGGACGGATACGGCCGGATTCGGATCCTTAACCGTATCCGTATCCTCCCCGCGATGACGGGCCGTTTGACAGCATCGTCGACATGAATGTGTCGCAAATGCCGCCCAAGGACCGGACTTTTGAAAATCGGGGTGTCAAACCTTTAAAGTTGTCGGGTAACCATTTTAATTGAACTTAATAATTTTTGTTTTTTAAGACTTGGGTTCATAATTTATATCACTGTTAAATCAAGTTTACTTTTTATATAAAGTTTACATTTAAAACATTTTAAGTTTAAAATCGATTACCTTTAATGTCATTTACTAGGATGCCTGTTCGACTAAAAGTAGGCTTTACACTTTAGGTTCATATACGTTTTCTGGGCTTAAAACCTACATTTAGTTAAACCAGTGGATGAGAAAACACTCCCAAGACTTTACAACATTTTTTCGAAAAGCAAAATATTCAAGTAGACTTTTAATTATTAATTAATTATTTAGGATTGCCTTTTATAAAAAATTCTTTCGTAAGAGAAACAGAAGTTTTATTTATAATATTGATCTGAGTATAATCTTTTAATGTAATCATTTGTATGTTAATTTATAATTGTTATGATTTTGTTATTTTTAAAAATCAGATTTAAAGCTGTCGAATAGAAAACACTTGGGCAATCGGTGGCTAATTGATTTACGAGGAACTGCAACACGTGTTTACACAATTCCGGCCAACCCAACCCCTCCAGGGAACGGCAAGGAATTGAAAGTAAGACCCCACCAATCCTCCAAGCTCCGTACAAGTTCATGCAATTTGTCACAATATGTGTCACATTAGCCACAGCAATTGTGCTTAAACGTCACCGTCTCGCCGGGTATCCGAGTATCCGGTTTTCCTGCCCTTTCCCCGGCTGTTGTCATCAGGACCGCTAACCAGATTAAACCCCAATCGCGACACCGATACGGCCAAGGATATCCTTAGTGCGACGGTCCTCGAAGGGGATGTTTGTGGCAGGGGTCGCTGGAAAAGTGGGCAAACAAAGAGCCAGGACTCAACCACCGCCGAGTTTTGGCACTGCCACCACCATCACCGCCGAGGAATCTGCACCCACCCCATGTCCTTCGTAGGACATCCATGTAAGTCGTTTGCAGATACACGCATTAAAAGAGGCCGTAAAAAAGAGATCCAGTGTCCGCATCATTAATCAAAAGCGGACAAGGCCAAACAAGTGCAAGGGCCGTTCGAAAAAAATAGACTGGCGAGGTAGAGGTCCTTTTGCAATGTCCTTCTGCAATTGAGAGTAGTACTATCACCACATCAACCACGTGCTACTTCGCCTAAGGATCTTTTCCGCTCATTAATGTGTAAATTACACAATTAATTACCGTGACGGTGTAGGATTGGAGGGATATTCAAATGCTCTTTCACGGAGTTTAAAGAACCATATTTGGTTTATTGCACTCCACAGAAAAAATGTTAAAATTCTGCCTAAAAAATGTACTTAAAAAAGAAATCTAGAATATACAAGTATCAATAAAATTAGCAACTCCACTTTACACACCCAATCACCAACATATTTTTCATAATTTGCATTTAAAAAAATTTTTGACTTCGCAAACTCCAAATCAAACATCACTTTGTGGCCCCTAAAATGTCCCTGAAATTGCGCCATGATTTTTATGGGGAAATCACCCAAAGGGAAAAGCTTTTAAAATTGAATCAGTTTTAAAAATCGTTGACTTTTTATATGGTACTTATGTATTTCCAGCTCGTAATACTTGCCGTCATCATTTTATGTAAACAATAAAAATCAAAAATCGATTTCATGTTCCCATAAAAGAGCATCACAATACTCAGCTCACAAAGAGTGGCAAATCGCATAATAAACAAGATACATTTTCGAAAAATAAATGTGCATTTGCTTTTATTTTCATAGGACGCATGTGTTGACAAAGGCTAAAAGGCGATATTGATGTAGAGGGCACAAAATGAAATGATTTTTGGTTGAATAGGCGAAAAACATTGGAATCATGGGAACTAAATCCCCTATTAGTTGTATTGACTCAATGGAAAATTGTGATTTATTTACACTAAATGGATTTTTAAATAAAGTTAATTTATTTTACGACTTTGTATAATATTTGCAATACGTATAGAGTTAAATAAAACAAACTATACTAAACAAATTAAAGTAAATATTTGAGCAAAGGTAAGGGAAAAAGAAATATCAGGACATCCTTAAGATTAAAAAGTATCTGATACCAAACCCTTTGGAAGTAATTGATGGTACTAACCAGTAGTCAGTAAAACTATTCCGAGTGGAAACCATGGAAAGCGCAGATTCTTTGCTGCAAACTTTCCACTTATAATTATGTAAATCGGTGCCCATGAACACGAACTTCTTACCGCAGAGGGCTGCACAAATTGTCGGGCGGCAGATGTCACCCGATGGCCTTTTCCTGACCAAACAGTTCAAAGAAGTCACTTGCGGCAGTTGTTTGGCATCATTGGGTTAAGGGGTTTTGCGGGTTTTCCGGGGGGGTTTCCCGAGTGGAATGGGCCGCAATCTAAATGCAAATGGACGGCCAATGACTAAATGTGAGCCGCTGGCCCAAAAAGCCACAAAGCCATAACCAGGAATCTCTCGCATAATACACAGAAACCAAAAAGGGGGGCGGCCAAATGAGGGGGCCGAGTCACTCAATGTAGTTTCCGTTGGGATTGCCAAGTCCATGTGTACGTGTGAGTTCGACATTTGGCACAAAATTCATAAATGCTAATTTCAACACATTGCGCACACGCTACAAATATGAATATTTACCATAACTACGCAAACAGACGTACGCACAAACATACATATGTATGTACATTGTACATGCTCGAAGGCAAATCGACTTCGATTGCCTGGGATTGCTGGGGATCCTTGGAAAAGCAGCCAGGACATTCGGTCCCCCGAAACCCACTCTCCGCATCACCAAACAGCCTGGCACTTGCCTTTATCGACCAACACTTTGCTTCGGTTTCAACTTCACTCGGGTTCGGGTTTAATAAAATCCTTTTGCAAAATGAAGCAATTGTGCATTTCAGCCTGCTGCTGCCTTACACAGATACAAATGGGCACTGGGAAAAATATTTAAAATTCATAATTCATATAATTCTATCTGGTTAACGAAAAAGGAAACCATAATATAAAAGTTTTAATAGATCAGCTATTAGTATATCAAAGTCAAAATCACACAGGTTGAAAGCAGCAATATTATTTATATTATTATATTTTATTATCTTTAGCGAAAAGGATCCTTACTACTTACTATATTAAAACCTATTTTTATTGGATCAACAGAATTGGTATACTCAAACCCAATATTTCATAATCAATGGAATTTAGTACAATATGTCTATCATAACATCTTTAAAACATTAATGTCATCAGATTGTATTATGTTTTAATTAAAAGAGGGTGATATATAACAAAGTTTAGATTTTTTTCTCACTGTATAAATGTGAGTATCAATGACTGCGAACAGGGGAATGGGTGAGGTAGTTTTGGGCCTGGCAAATATGCGTCAAAATCGCACAGACGCACAGTTTTTGAATGCCAAATGGAGACAGGATGGGAATGCATTACGTGCATAGGCATACAATAGTCTATATTTGTCTACTTGATGCCACAGATTGAGATTGGTATTGTGCCCTATGCTGGAACCAGAATCCAGAATCGTAATTGGCCACTTGGCTGCCGACTCGTCGAACCGCAGAGAAGGCGCCACTTGCCACTCTTTCGGTTCCCAGGAGATTCACATTGCCCCCGGGGGCCGCACTTTGCCGTTAAATTGGAAATTTCTTTCAATTGAGCTGCCGATGGCCAAGAGACCACCACATTATTAGTTCAAACTTGGCCGGTTCAGGCGACTAATGAGTTTCTAATAGGCCTAAAAGTGGCCCATAGAGCTCTAATGAAAAAAGTCTATAGTTGGCCATATGCTGCAGTAATCATAACTAATATGGGGAACTTAAAGTCCATGACTTGCTAATTTGATTTTTGAAGTAATTTAAAAGTATCTTCAAAATGTGGTAAGACTTTTCATTAAAATTAAATTGGAAGCAAGCTTGTTTGTTTAAACCAGAATGCTATCAAAAATTTTGAAACCGATTTTGGATAGCATATGGATATGCAATACATAGCATTATTTATATTTCATTATATTAAACATATCCATTAACATTTCACATAAATTTTATAGGTTTCATGTTATATTATATACATAGATAGATTGTTAAAGATTTTTTTTTTACTTATTAGACAAAAATAAACTCAACTGAACCTTTTCAGCCTCATTTAAGTACGCTTAGCTTATTATTCCTTACTGAAATTAACTGTATCCGAATCCTCTTTATAGATTTGCCCTGCTGGTCTCGCCTCTGAACTGGGGATGCGAAATTTGAATTGCAAAGCTCGACAGCTGGCGAATCGAACACGAACTACGAGAATGTGTGGTAGCCCCAATCCAAACCCCAATCCTCGTCTTTTGCCGGCTGAGTTTGGCAGGCGATTGGAATGGGATTCCAAATCTGAGTACAGGACCAGGACCAGTTGACAGGCCAGACACCAAAGGGGCGTAGTTCGAGACAATGAATCTGCAGCTACAGCTGGATGAAGATTGACTTTCGAGGCAAGGTGTTACCGACTCAAAGCCAAAATTCAAAATCCAAAAGACGAAAGTCAAATGCAAATG